TCGAAATAAATCGAAAAATAGCGATCCAATAGTTTTTTTTTTTTTTTTTTTTTTCTAAAATGTAGCCAGCGAAGCATCGGTAGCATTTTTGACTGAGCGCCGCAATTATCGGAAGTAGTGCAGGGCGCATGCATAGAAACAATCAATAACTGTGGTGTTCTATTGTCTCTGGTGCGTATAAATCTATGAGATCTCACTGATCTCTATAATAAAATCTGTCTACCATAAAAGCATGTCTGCTGCTTCGCCATCGCCGCGACGCCAGGTCAATCTGGTTGAATTCAGGTAAATATACTTCTCCCATGTTGCATTTAAGCACAGCAATGTATAAAATGCATAGTTATCATAACTAGAACACAATACATGAGTTTACTGTACTTTCACGGCTCATGTTTTATTACATAATTATTAAATCGAATCGGATCGAATCGGATCAAAATATCGGAAAAAAAAATCAATAATCGAATCGAAAGTATTTGATACCAATGACAGCCCTACATGCCACTAGATCAAAGTACATATATCCGGCCACGTCGGGACTGGCACCCATCCGGATATGGGATTTAGCCGGATATGAGAGTTATGCTCAAACACAGCATTTCTATGCAGTTCAGTAGGGGTTATGCTAGCTCTAGTACTATAGCCTGCATTCATTAACTGCCGCAGGGCTATTGAACATTTTATGCTAGATTTCGCAACTGCAACCTGTTACTACCTGTTCCCACGAAAAATGGATTGCAAAATGCAAAATGATCAGGCTTATATGGACATCTCACCTATATTTTTGAACACTTTCCACAACTTTACACCATGTATTTATCCATTTATTACTCAAAGTCAGCACTACTGGCAATTCCGTTTGAAATATTCTGGCGTGCGCACACGTGACGTCACCGGTATTGTATATACATGCACCATAGCTGCCATGTGTTTTGCCAGATATCCGGTACATGTATATATACAATACCGGTGACGTCACGCGTGCGCACGCCAGAATATTTCAAACGGAATTGCCAGTAGTGCTGACTTTGAGTAATAAATGGATAAATGAGTAATGTAGATAAATAAGTGTTAAAAAGCCCGATCATTTTGCATTTTGCGATCCATTTTTTGTGGGAACAGGTGGTAACAGGTCGCAGTTGCGAAATCTAGCATAAAATGTTCTATAGCGGCTATAGAACATTTTATGCTATAACCCTGCTTTTTAGAACATTTTATGCTTAACCCTAGCTCTAGTACTATAGCCCGCGTTCATTAACTGCCGCAGGGCTATACTAGCCCTGCGGCAGTTAATGAACGCGGGCTATAGTACTAGAGCTAGGGTTATGCATGTAATAATGTACTTACTCGTTGCTACGATTGATTATTTGTAACAAACTGTCGTGTTTTATGGTTTATATGAAATGGAAATAAAATGAAATAAAACCGAAATTTTACCACTTCGGTTTATGTTTGTTTCTTTTGTGCCGAGATCTAGGGCTGTAACGATCGATACACTCGCGGCGTTGTATGCCTAGGGCTGTTACATGTGCGCGGCAGCAGCGCTTTTGAATGAAGTACGGGGCTCGATCGATTGCGAGTGCATAGCGAGGTAGCGCGTTTCGCTAACGTCCGCTAGTAAAAGTTGTTCGTTAATGAACGAGTTGTCCGGAGTCATAGCGGACAACACACACACGCACGCACACACACACATTTTTGTTTATTCATATAGTGTACAATGTATATATCTTTTATTCCTTTGTAGTTTTTACAGCATCAACAAGTGAGTATGTATTTGTGAAATATTCGTATTAATATGGCTGTATATTTATACATGTACATGTACGTGGGCGTTTGCTCTTACGGTAAGTGTGTTTGTTTTGTGCATGTGATAGCCGTGCGCTCTTACGATAATCAATGTGTACATCGCGCGAGTTTTGAGCAAGCCTTGAGTGAGATTTTTAGGTGGGAATGATTGAAACAAGAGCCGCAGAGCGGCTGGGCTCATCTGGGTGCTAGTGAGTGCTAAGAGTGCTAAGAGCTAAG